TTTATATCTTTAGAATTTTTGTAAAATGAAAAGGATATATATTTTTTAATTGTTGGAGCCACATCTCAAAAATGGGGTAAAAGACAAAATGAAACATAAACACCAGTAACTGCAAGGCCTCCCTGTGAGCTGCTTCTACAGTATGGTCAAGGGCAAGCAGGGTTCTCACTCAGATTAGAGCTCAAGCTCTGGCAGAGCAGAATTCTTTATTGTGCTGCTGTCAAAAGTTGTGTGAGAGTTTGCCTTTCTGCAGAAAAAAAGAAAGTATTGGGAATTTGTGTGAACATGTGTGTATGACTGTCTGGGAGATATAAAATGATGAGAACAATCAGGAAAGTAATTAAATGTATTTTTTTCCTACATGTCAGAAGTTATGAGAAGCCTAACCTGGGAGAGTTTGCAGTATATGACTCTAGCTCCATAAGGAACAACCGAAACTCTTGACAATGAGAGCAGAACTTTGGCAGCAGACCCCAGAGCAGGAAGCAGAAGGAACGGGGAAATGCCCCTCCATAATTTGAGATCTCTTTCATGTGTTTTAAAATATACCTAGACAGTAGAAGCTGTCAAATTTCTGACATATTCCCCCATGCAGGTTTCCTTTTTAGTTAAAGGAACAACTGAGTGGAGGAGGGACAGAAGGAATTTCAGATGAAAATGCTAAGATGTTCCCCAAACTAGGAAGACTCCTGTTCAGAATAAAGGAAGTGCCCAGAATATAAGATGGGGAGAAAACCAGCAAGCCTTTCAAATCTTTCAAATGCAGATTTAAGTCTGCATTCTCTCTCTCTCTCTCTCTCTCTCTCTCTCTCTCTCTCTCTCTCTCTCTCTCTCTCTCTCTCTCTCTCTCTCTCCCTTCCTCCCTTCTTCCCCTCCTCCCTTGTTCTGCCCCTTCCTCTCCTTCTCTCTCTTTCCCTGTTTGTTTCCCAGAAAAAGCCAAGAGAAAAGAGAAAGAGGGATGAAGCAAGATCACAAGACAAAGAGGCTTGGTGACTTTCAGGGACCCAAATTAAGGCCCCCTCTTCAATCCACTTCCCTGGGGCTGGGGAGATGGCTCAGTAGAATAAGTGCTTCCCTGGCAAACTCAAGGGCCTGAGTTCAATCCCCAGTCCTGAGGAAAAAAAAAAAGTCACCTCACTTCACTTTATTGTCCAACCCTATCAGAGCCCTAATAATTTGTCAAACCAGCTAAAAACCCCCATGATTTTGTGTGGCATGCTATGTCTGACTTATAATTCTTTTTCTACTTTTTTTTCTGACAAAACCTCTTTCATTCCTTGCTTTAAGAGAGCCTTCCCAATTGCCTTGTCCCATCTTAGAGTAGCCTCTGGAGTGAGCCATGGGTGCCCTGTGCTTCTCTCTGTCATGCACTAATCATGCTTTATTTATTTGTTTATACGTATTTGGTTGTTACAGGGTCTCACTACACAGCTCAGAGTCGTGGTGATCCTCCTGTTTTCAGCCTCCCCAGCGCTAGGATTACAAGCATGTGCCACAACACCCAGACTCTGGCCAGCTCAGTGCACCTTGCGGGTGAGGCTGGTGTGGCATGTGGTGCAGGAGATCCAACCATAGAGCCTGCACTTGCCTAGGCTTGCCTACACAGGGGCTTTAGTCTACTGAACTATCTCATCAGTTCGTATGCTGCATTTAAACAGTGGTGTATGATTCCATTCTCTAGTCTGTCTCTTGGACCCTGAAGAAACGAAGGTCTATTATTGGTGCTTCTTCAATGATTATCTCAGTACAGGACATATGGTAGATATTTCATAAGTATTTGCTGAAACTCCTGCAAAGGACCATGCAGGAGAAAGGTGAAAAAAAGAGTTCAGAGGGGCTTGGGGTTGATTGACAAGACCCCAGACAAGGAATGAGGAGGGCTGATTGGAAAGGAAGGAGCACTCTACAGTCCCGACTCCTGCATTTCTCCTGTAAACTCTGGGACATGCAGCCAACCAAGAGAGAAGGTCTACAAGGACTTTGATGTATGAACACTTAAGTTTGAATTTCAGATTCTTTTAACTTCTTTCATAGCGCAGCAAAATACCCTCTGTATGTCTGAGCACCTGTGTGAGTATTCTCCACAGTGTAAGTTCTGTGAAGAACCATTGCTGTCTTGATCATCCTATTTCTACTTCACTTGAAATATATTGGTTAAATTGGTAAATAAATGCATGACAAGTAAATGTTATGTGCTAATATAAAGCTTTGGCAAACAACACAATTTTTCTCACATATAATGTTTACCTATGTATAATCTTTCCTTGCATGAATATGAGCTTCCATATGTATATGAAATATATATATATATATTTATATATGTGAAATATATATTTATATATGTGAAATATATATTTATATATGGAATATACATATATATGGAATTCCCTTTTCTCACATTTTATAGCCAGTCCCTGACTAAGCTCTGAAAGTTCTTCTTCCAAAATGTAGGCCTGTGAAAGAAAATTTCTCTCCAATTTTCTCTTTTTTTTCTTTGTTTTTTTGATCTAGGGTCTTGCTATGCAGTTCAGTTCAGGCTGGCCTTGAGCTCACTTTGTAGTCCAGGCTGGCCTTGAACTTTCAACAATCCTCCTGCCTCAGCCTCTTGAATGCTGGGATTACAG